CACACACACACACACACACACACACACACACACAAACACACAAAAAAAATGCACAGCTAATTCCTAAGGCACTCAAACCATCTAATTTGTGCAAGGTGTCAGTCTTCACAAGCATGGTACCCAAGTGGCTTGAATGTGGATGTTCTGGGAAAAGAAAGGACAGTCTCTCCGTGCCATCTATTTCCAGAGTTTACCTGATCTGATACAAGTAGCTTATGGAGCTATTGCTGATCCTTATTTGTTTTTCATGATTCAAACTTAAGAGGCTGAAATTTGGAATCTGGATCCCTCAAATTCCAAGTTACTATTGTTTCCAGTTTTTAGGCACTTGATAAATATTGGTGATTTAATGCAATTATTCAAAAAGAGTCTCCAAGATGCAGGGGGACTATCAGAGGCTATGCTGACGTATTATCTGTTGAGGCTGTTATTACTCCCAGGAGAAAACAGAAGGAAAAATTTTATAAGGTCCCATGCCTCTTACACCAAATACTGCTGATCATGGTGTTTCCCATTTACTTATGATTATTTTCTGTGATAAAGGGAAATTTTTGATGAATTGCATCCATTGTATTTAACAAAATTTAATATTAAAATGAGCTACAAGAGCCTGAGATTTTACAAGAACAAGATTTTACAAAATAACAATTAAAATTTTGTTTATTCAAGCCAGTCCCCAAAAATCAAAGGCCAAATATTCTCTGTGATATGTGAACATTAATCTACATAAGAGGGTGGAAGGGGAAGAATAGAAGTCCATTGGATTAGACAAAGAGAAATGAAGGGAAGGGAGGAATGAGTCGAGTAACTGTGGACTGAACCTCTGAAACCATAAACCAAACTAAACATTTCTTCCTCTGAGTTGTTCTACCATGCCTTTTGGTTACAACAGTAAAAAGGCTGACTAAACAGTCCCTGATGTTATTCTAAGCCTAAAAATCTGGGCTTTTCTAATAGCACATCCTAGAGATAACATATCCAGGAGCCTTCACCATGAACTAAACATCAATTTCATATGAAAATCCAAAATTTCTTATTTTTAATAAGAAATTTCTTATAAGAAATTTCTTATTTTTAATCCTCTCTTTTATCACCCTTAAGACATATCTTCGAGAATAAACAGCTACACTTTTGAGGTTCTCTAAATTTATTCAGACTCTGGTTATATGTTGGCATTTCTTTCTCATCTATATTTAGGGGAAGCAAATCGAAAAATGCATAGGAGTCACATATTATCACTTAAAGAGACATTGGTGAGGTGATCAGCACTCAGGCATCAAAGATAAAGCTGCATATATGAACTGGGAGATGATATTGATATCTCACAATGAGATATTTGGTTGATTGAAAGTCTAAAGGCCTTGGTTTCAGTACCAACCTTGAATCCCTGAGGCACATTCCACCTGCAAAACATCTGTATGCCCAGCTGCCCTGCCCAGTTTATAACATTGCTGGTTAGTCCAATGACACAGATGTTTGAACATTTTCTGCATAAACTCTGCAACTGAGAGACAGCCTGTCTCAAAATATAAATTTTACAAAG